CTACCTTGGTCTTGTGCTTTCAATAAAATCCCAAGCACCCTTAACAGCTGTCACTATACCTGCACCTAGAATCCCACAAGCAGCATATATCATTCCCAAGGAAACAAGACGGTCCTTAGATTCATGTTGATCCATGACATTGTGATTCATTTCTGGTTCTTTATATAAAAAGTCCCACCAAGGGTCTTGATCCTGGAAGTTTGGATCATAATCTTGCCCTAACCTTCTATAGTTAAATTGAGACATTCCTTTGTTGGTAAGATCACTTCCATGATGCTTTTGTGCTTCTTTACTCATCTGTTTTGAAAATTCAAACTTCTGATTTAATTGTCCATTGGCAATTGGGAAGATCACACCACTTGATTCAAAAGCTGTTTGACTAGCTATATCATTTGGTTTTTGCATTACATGATCAGAAATAATAGGTGGAGTGACCAAGGCTTCAGAAGCTTGATGATCAATCAGGAGGTTTATACCAAGGAAAATGTTTCCAAATCTCATTTTGAGTCAGCTGTCAAAGAGGTAAGTAAATCCTAGTATTCAGAAGTCAGCTGAAGCATTCAACAGACATAAATTATCACAATAGAACAAGTGAATGTAGCCTCAGGAGACTATCAGCTTACTAACTTGAATGAAATGTGGTTGCAATTTTCAGAAAGTGTTAATTCACCAGGTCCTGATTAACATGGATATGGTATGAAAGGTTTGTCAAACTTCTGTGTAAACTCAAACCACACAAGATTGTAGTCTTCAGGAGGCCACTCATTCAGAGAGTTAGAAAGAGTTAGAAAGTAAGAAAATAAATCAAGGACTGCTGTAAGAAGTGCTCACTACTGAAAGCTATTGTATCTTTGATCACTAGTTTAGGATCTCAAAGACTGATTTTGGGGCGTAATCAATGGTTCAAAATAAATAGGCTGAGAAAGATATTGAATGAAGCACCCAATTCTGACATGATCAATCATACACCAATATTCCCTTATAGAGTTTCTGTGATTTGTGCATTGTTTGAAGATCAATCAGCCAAATGATGGCTGTGCATCGAGACATGTATGATTGTACCAAGGTCACAATATCACTGGGTTTTTCTATGAATATCCATGTGGGTTTCATCTGATATTTTTTCAACTTTTCTATTGCATTTGAAACTTGTGTCATGATCTTGGATTTCAATACATAATGTGGCCTCTGAATCCAGATCCATAATTGAAAATAAGACGGCTTATAACAAGATGTGACTTGAACATTTGAGATAGCTCAAAAAGATGTATATCTCCAAACTCGCACACATATTTTACCTGCACATATTATCTCGAGCTTGCCGAAAACTAGAACAATCTGTAGCAGAAACTCTGTTGAACTCATGGCTTACAACACGAATTTACACAGCAAGAAAATTCCCAGCCAAGTGCTGTAAGTTGCAAAATACTTACCATCAACAGCCATGAACCCAGAATGCTTCTTTAAGTAAGTCCTATGTTTGGGACGAATAAGGATACCTTGGCTCTATCTTGGTCCACACCCCCAATCTCTCTCAAACC